CGGAAAGTGTGTCAATGTGTGTGTGCTGCTGCTGCTGCTGCATGCAAATTTTAATACAAAATTGGGATTAACAACATTGCCAACAATCGGGTCCCAGGCAAAGTTGTTCTGAGCTAGTTGCCGCAAAGCAACAGCAACAGCAACATAAACACAAGGCGCAATAACAAGAGTCGGTAATAATGCCTTGACAGCAGCAGCATCAAGCTGCAGCAGCAACAGCATCAGCAACATCAGCAACATCAGCAACATCAGCATCTCTGCAAGCGCGTTGATTATCCCAATCAGCAACACTTTACCAGCGTAAATCTATTTAATTTGCCATTGGCCGATGCAATCGCATACACAGAAAGAAAAATGCAACTGAAAATATACGAATTTCTACATACTGAAATAATGTATATTATTTCGTATAGATCTTAAGCATTAAGCCGATAAACAAGGCCGGAAAAAGAGGGTACTACAGCATCCTAACCTGGGCTTCCTTTAATATATATTTATTCTACAATTAAATCCCTTACTTCTAAATATTTTCTCTCTGTACACTGAACTCCCTGGCGATCTCTCGTAAACCACAAATCAGCTGTTTGGCCGTCGCTCTTGTTAAATGTAATTGAACCTGTTCTTAGAGTTTTGTTTTGTAATTTATTATTGGCGCATGAGTTGCAAGCCGAAAAGCGGAGAAAATAGCTCAAGTTGTTGGAAGCTTATGGCTTCACGATCGTCATCAGTCTGCTGGTAATAATGATGATAATGATGATGATGATAATGATTGAGCGGCTTGGCATGCGAAGATCGCGCGCTCTTTTAGCCAAGATCGTGCCTGACGCGTAATTGATTATTACGAAGCAACAGGCAACACCGGCAACACCAGCAACATGAGGCAGTAACAGGAAAATGCCAGGCATAATGATGTATTAGTTAAACTTGGCCAACCAGTTCGCATTTCGGCCATGAAAAACGGTTTAGAATTAGAGAAGCCATGATTACATACCTCCTCTCCTTTTGCCGGGTTGCGTTGCATTGCATTGAAATTGAAAAGAAGTGGGCATTATGTTGGAAAGTTGCCGTTGCTGTTGCCATAGCTGCTAGTTTCAGCTCATGTTGCTGCTGCAATTGCTGTTCTTGTTGTTAGTTAGAGGAAATCCACATTGGAGAGCACTTTTACACAGCTTTAGGAATGTTTCAGGAAGTGCGGTATGTGAATTAAGGCTTAAACAGTTAAAGCTTCAAACAATTTGGGTTAAAATAAGCAACAAAATTAATTTAAACTTAGGAAAATTCCCTATAAATCCTATACAAGAATTTTGCATCCACATTTTCAGTACCATCAGTGCCAACAGCTAGGCCATATACAAGTATTCGACCGTCTGCATTCTCGTATCTAATGGCATTGGCCAAATTGACAGCACAAAAAGCTATGCAGGGCCGACAACGAGGGCCATAACTCATAAGCCGCTGCACATATTCGTTCGGGAAAATACCAAGGGTCTACTATATATGTATGTGCCGCCACTCGAAAAACTCCAATTTTAATTGCTCGACATTAAACGATCGACAACGACAACGACAACAACGACAGCGGCGGCTCGAAGTTGGGAACTTTGGAGCTCTACAATCCGCAGTGCCATAAAATATGCGCACGTTTCGTTTGTTTGCCATTGGTTTGCATATATGCCCCCATCCCGGGGAACCCGGGGAGCCCGGGGAGCAAGCCCAGCAATATGCTTCTCGTATAGAAACTGAGACCAAGAGACCATAGACCAGAGACCGCGCCGGAGCAGACAGCATTTAGCGTACGATTTGGCGGCGCGAAAAAGATAAACTCATAAATTATGGCATTGAATGTCACTTCAGCCACCGAGCGCGAAACGCCGACAATAGCAACAGCGACAAAACCCCCCGGTTCCAAGCTCCCAGCTCCCAGCTCCCAACCGGAATCCGAATCTGAGTCCGAGTTCGATTCCGCAGCCAGGATGTGGCTGCATCCGAGCAAAAGGCACACCAGGCACACCGGCACCGGCATCGGCATCGGCACTGGCGATAATGAAGCCCATTTTAAAGTCACTACCATTCAATGCGATTTGATTTACAATCCCATTTCGATTATAATCGATGATGATGTGTGTGCGCGCTTCGGCCGAGCCATGAACTTGCATATAAATACCAATCTGTGTCTTTGCCTCTCAGCCACTCAGACAGGAGGAGGACAGAAGGAGGCTTGGTGGCAGGCGAGGAGGGAGCCAAGAGCAGGGAATGCTAAGCAGAGCAGATCGGGTCGGCGGTCTCTAGCGGTTTTCCAAGGAAATCGAAAAGCTGCTCGCGGAGATCCCAGATCCGGAGTTCAATCCAGTCTGCCCACAGGTCCAAGCCACAGACGATGCACAGTGGGTGTGATAATAATCAAAATAAATATAAATAAGGAATATTTTAAGGAAAATTAGTGGGTCCACATTTAAGATATAGAAAAAAACAGATTATTTAAAGAATGCCTTACATATTTTATAACATAATCAACATAACGAAACATAAATTACTATAAATTTCAAGACTCAACTAGTATGATGTTTAGAGAAATTTCAGAGATGCTAAGTAATTCTTAGGTATTTTAATTATCATGTATTCCCCTTTTAGAAACTGTTTAAATTTTATAATATTTTCAACACTCTAATCCTACTGTTTGATGACGTCTGGCCGTCTTGCCAGTCCATGTTTACCTGTTGGCGCAATTGAACTTGAATTGAATACGCTTTGGCTTCGACTTTGGCTTCGTCTTTGGCGTTTTAGTTTAGTTTGCCCCGCCGCCAACTTGTCAGACAAACGAATGCGAAGCTAACGAAGCCACCACCGACGATTTCCCACCCTGGTCACCCCATCTCCATCTCCATCTCCATTCCCGATCATTGTCGCATCCGCCATCCGCCATCCGCCACGATGGTGGCAATTGTTTTGATGACCGCTGATAACTACAACCGCAGGGGGGATCCCAATCCCGATCCCAGTTTCAGACCCCGAAAACAAAAGCCCAACAAAACGGAGTTCAATACAATGGCAGGCTTATATATATTTTGTCACCCGGTCTGGTCACAGTTCTTTATGGCCCTTTAATTGAAGCTGAAACCATTAACATTGGCCCCGGCTGCTCCAACCCACGCGCTGCTTCTTAAATTTATTACAACTTAATTGCAAACGTTGTAACTTTGTTGCTGTCTCTCCTGTGTTGAGCTTACGAATATGTCTTAATTTTTAATTTTTTTTTTTTTTTTTTTGGTGCAACGCCCACTCAATAAATGCACACCATGTGCGTATTGAACAAGTCCTCAACTCCTCACCCGGACGTGACTTAATTTGTATTTAGAAGAATATCAAATTGAAAGAGTCTTTGGTTGACCACTATTCAAGATTGTTGCTGAATGTTGTCAATGAACAATACTAAGATTCAGAGAGTAAAGAAATTAATAACTAAGATCAGTCCCCCTGGAGATTGAGATTGATTAAGTTACAAATGAAAATGTTCTTCTTATAAACATGTCTTAACCATTTCCCCAAAAATTTTCAAAAAACAGCTTTTAAATATGCAAATTAAAGCCAAATTTAGTCTCACTTCGCCCACGCATTTTCCGGCTGGCTGAACACCATCGCTGGTGGCCAAAAGCATCCCTAGACGGGGCTATGGGAGATCCGGATATATGGCCAAGATCTGTTTCCCAGGCAATTAGCTCAAATGCGGTCTGTGACTGCGATAGTGGAGTTCGCCCACTTAGCAGCTGGCCCGCTAGCGAAAATGGCCTAAAATATGGCAGCCAACTATCGGCCATAATTTCATGAGCAATTTCGGGGTGCCACAAAGGAGGAGGAAGCTGGAGGTGGAGGAGAAAATTCAGAGGCTTCGGAGGAGAGAGAAACCTGCTCGCATGGCGGCATGGACTCCGGTCTGTGTGCAAAGTGCAGTGATAAATCAGATTGTCACTTTTGTATATTTGCACCAACTGACGACGACGACTTCTCCTGCTCCCTTTGCAACCGAGGCTGGTTTTCGATGCGTTTATTAACAGCAAAGGAAATTCATATAAAGACAGGTAACCCATAAACATAATATTCTTAACTTTTATTGCTAATAAGACAGAGAAACTTGATCTCTAACTGTGGGTAGTTTAAATAAACAAGAACAGAAATATTATTCACAGATTTTCTTCTAGGTGAAAAGTAAAAATATACCATTTTATAGGTAAATAAAGTGTTTATATATATTTGATCAATTATTTAAAATTTCTCCCTATAAATTGCAATGCTATTTTTATGATCCACACTGTACGTAATGGCATCGCATGCAATGCGTTCCCCAGAAAGCAAGACGCTGGCAGAGTGTACTCAATGGGAGAACGGGAATGCATTTCACTTTGCCAACGGACCACGTTCCATAATTATTATTATTTTGATTATTGCACCTGAAAGATGACATTATTAACAACACTAATGTGGCGAAACCGAGGATGAGGATGCAAACATATATTTACACTCTTAAAATAAATTGTGCATCACCGAGAGAAATTCAAGTACGAAAATTGTAATGTTTCTCTTTTGTGGTTAATGTTTTTAGAAATTATATACAGTAAATTGGCCACTTAATTAAATGATTTTATATTGTTCCCGAAAGCGATTTTAAATTCAAATAATTAAATGCAACTAATTGAAATGTGAACAATGCTTTAAGCCCGACAAAACAAAAAAACGTTAACATGTGTTTATTGTTTACTATTTGTATTGTTTAGTAAAAGGGAAAACTAGGAAAGGGAAATCGATGTGAAATAAAGTTGAAAATTCAACTTGAATAATATATAGGACTGAGCATTTACAATTAGGATTATTAATAATTCTTTTCGTCAACTATTAAAAATTCAAACTATATGTGTGGGTAATTTGATAATTTATAGCTTGATTGTTATAAAAGTTTATATATTTCTTATTTAATTGCTAATAAGTTTATTGTTGTATGAGTAGTATAAGTTTACTGTAGTGGTACATCAAAATTTATTGAAACTGCATGATTATAGTGTAAATATCCTGTTCACCTTTCCCATTCCTCTCTGGAGCTCCTTTCTCCCCACTACTCGTTAAAGAGCTTCACCCGCTGACTGACCTCCTCCTCGTCCAGCTGCCTGGGGGAATCAATTTGGCCCAGATACTCGGCCGGCATGGAGCCACCTATGCAGGTGGCCTCCCACCAGCTGGCACTCTTCAGCTCCTCCATGAACTTGCGATGTCGATCCGGACGATACGGTTCCATCACGATATAGTGCGGATCATCCGTCTCCGGTCGATCGTACATGTGGCGTCGCGAGGCTATGGCCTGTTCCTGGGCCAGTCTCAAGTACTCGATCCGGTTATCGGTTAGCAAACTCAGAGCCTCCATATTGAGGACCACATCCAACTGGGGACCCTCAATCAATATGTCCTCGGGATCGGCAAGGATGGCCTGAATGTAGCGGAGTAAATGCCAAATGTGATGCTGATCCTTGAGCCACTTCTTGAAGCCGGGAGTGATATCAAGGACCTTGGACTGTGGACAGATGTGCGGATGAAGAATGGGCATGGAGAAGACCACAGTGGGCAGGGCGGTGTCATCCGGAAAGTTTTCGGACAGCAGAATGGAGAATCGAAAAACACTGCCCGCATAGATACCACTATGGACAAAGACGACGCCAAACCAACGAAGTCCACTGCTGAAACTGGGAATGGCATAGATGTTCTTCAGCTGCTCCTGCACCAGATAATACTCGGCCAGAATCTGGTAGCCCTGGCTGATGAGGGCCATGCCCCTGGATGAGGCCAGGGTCAACTTCATGGTTATGCCAAGATGCAGCTACGGTTCTCCGCTGCAGGGAACTGATCAAGTTGGGAAGATCATGGAAAATCTGGTGTGGAATGGAATGTATGGGATGAATGAAGCTGGTGTATGTGTATGTGTGTGGCCTGTAATGCTGATTGAAATGAACAAACTTCAGGCTTTGACAGGGAATTCCAATACTCCTACATTATATTTCATATATTATATTGGAGAGTCCTCGATCGACAATGCTATGTAAACGTTCAACTAGAGTTGTCCACAGAGACTGAAGAAAACTATGTTCAATTCACCAGCAAATGGAACTAGACTCGGGCATCTTTGAAACTGGTACTCAGCGGCATATTCCATCAAGTCAAGTGTAATAATTTTACAAATGGCAGAGATACATGCAGTGCACAGCCTTGGGGAGCTGGGAGATGGGACTTGGACCGCATATTGCATGTGTGAGTATGGATTTTTGATTTATTGCCGCCACGGTGTCCTGATGTACGGTTCTTTCACGCACTAGCAACATAATGTGGCATTATAATGTCGCATGTTCTGCCCCAAGTAAGCCGGAGTGTGTGTGTGTGTGTGATTTGTTATGAATTTATTATGTGACGGAAGTGGCTTTACCACAACAGACTTGCAACTGGTCAAACAGGCCAAAATGTGTGCATGCCAGTGATGGTCGCAGCTGCTAATTGGTAAGGATTACCTTTACCTGATCCTACTCCAACTGCTCAGGATCAAAATAGTACATATCCTATAGGATACGGCAGAGATATGACTTTGTTTATTTGTTTTTTTAGATATTTCTCTATATTTTTATATTTTTCCCCCTAATTTATTATTACTTTGCCTGACTTAATTTTCTCAAGTTTTAGCAAAAGCCCCAAGAGTATTCCCTCTTCGAACCTGAACTCCTTCCTTTCTCCTTAACTTTGTTTATACATTTCCTTTATTTTTTTTGGCAAACACATCGTAAACACACCCTGACAGAGACGGACAGACAATGACGCTTCCTTGATAAGTCCAGCCCCAGAACAGGGGAATGAAATAAATGCATAAACGTGCAAAAGATAAGGGAATTGCCAAAAAAAAAACAGAAAAAATAATAATGAACGAAACGGAAATACAATTTGGCGGTGGTGCCGGCACTCATTAAAAATTATACCGCGATATGACGCGATATGATACGTTATGATTTGCGACTCCAAGACTTTCTTTCTTTCTTCTGCCGGGAAAAGGTAACGCCAGTTTTTTGGGGTAGGGGGGGGGCCTGACATGGGTGCAACACCCAGTTCGTGGAAGGATTCATTTTCACCTACACCGACGGAGGCCACAACCCATGTCAAAATGTTTGGGCCCCAGGCAATTGCTAATATGAGGCCCCGATTTGCACCTGTGGGGGAATAACGCTGCCTGTCACCTGGCCAGCAGCATTCAATTTTTGGATTTCATTCCACCTTGGTCATGAGCTCGGACTTGAACTCAAATTCAAACTCTCCTCACATGCGGGTGCAGAGAAAGAAAATGATGTATGGGAAATGTATTCTATTAAAAGTAATACGTTTCTTACAAAAATAACTCCTTTTCTTATTGATTTATTTAAGAAGTCAAAAGATTGTAAGATGGATGTCAAGCCACAAATGACTTGAAACGTTTATACTTAAAATATATATTTCATATATAAAAATATATATTTATTACCCATTACTATAAACATTTTCTCACTCTGTAACAATTTCTCTGGTCCTTTGGCCCGTCCTTCTTATCAGCTTTCTTTATTTATGCTGCGTTGCCTTTTGGGAGCGAAACATACAGCGATTTTCATTCCCATTCCGATTTTGAGGGCCGGCATTTGTAATACGGTGGCATATAACACTTAAGTGCTTGTTGTTGCTTTATAAGATAAACTTTTGCGGGACCCACATACAAGGCACTGGGCACAAGGCACTGGGCACTGGGCAGAGGCACCTCTCCTCAGCACAGGAACCTTTGGATAACGTGATGCCAATTTCATTTACTGGCACTTTCATTAACCAACCCGAAACCCATCCCATATCATACCATACTATAAAGGAATAAAAAGCATCAAACTCGAATAAAATAAACGAATTGGCGTGTTTTTAAGTTCTTGCTGAAAGTTGCGGGTTGGCCACAAAATGTTTGCACTCGCCATTTGTGGAGTGAGTGTATTCGGGACTTGGACTGCGATTCGTGGAACTGAACTGAAATGAAATGGGTTTGTATTCCAGATTCTGCGATTGCTATCAATCAGTTGTTTACAGGGAAAGCCCAAGAGAGAACTCAGCGAGAATAAAACCAGGAAAACACATAAGATAGCTTGAACGGAAAATTCTTGTAAAGTACTTCTCAAAATCAAACCAAAGATCCCACAAATCAAGCTCTGAACAGTTTCATAGTGTCAATTAGATGGTGTCTTTCTTCCTAAACATTAATAATAAAGATATTAACTCATGTAGAACAAAATCAAGTCAAAGAAAATGAAGCTGGTTGCTGAGAAATTCCCCTTAATTCAAGCTGTCTTCGTGTTGCATGTCAATGTGCCGACTCGGTAGGGGACTCCCCCTTATGGCTTATGAATTATGAATTTAGAATTAAGCTTTATTGCTTGCAGTGGCATACTTTCAGGCGGTGTCATAAATAGTCTCGCCCAAGAAACCAATGTGTGGAAATGTGAATTGTTTTGCCCAATAATTGATTTATGCACAAAGTGTCGTTCGAAGGAGGGGGTGAGACTTGGCACTGCCACTGCCACTGCAACACTGTGTGTGGCATATTCAAATTCAAATTAGATTATATGCAAACACCGGCCGGCGCAGTCGTCTTTCACTTGCCGTTCTTCATTCGTTCTTTATTATTATATTGGAATGCCGAATGAACGACGGAACGAAGGAGCAAAAACGGGCGACGGTCTACTAATATTTGCATAATCGCAGGCAGCTCTCAGCAGAGCAGGCAACATGCGGCAAAGCAATTATTTCTTTAAAAATAAATTGCATGCACAATTGGTAGCAATAGCAATTGCAGCGGCAAAATACCCACGGAGGACCACCAACCAGAGCGGGCTCAGAGTTTCGGATCTTGGATCTCGGAATCTGGCCGAATGCAGGTCCCAGCGTCGACGAATTTGGTCAAAACGGCTTCTTCTTTACTTATTTTTTGTGTGTGTGTTTTCTCTTTTGTGGCCAAAAGCAGAGGAGGCCGGGCCCAGGGAGCCAAAGGGGAGGCGTGGCAGCTCAGCTCGTTTTTGCGATTTGTGTGTACGCCTCATCCATTTATTTGCATATCGATTTGGAGTTTTTAGTCTGCCACAATACACTGTCTTTTTGTTTCAGCCACACTGAGAAAATTTTAAGGATTTAAGTGTATAAAATGTATTTTAAATATCAGCAACATGGGGCTTAATTTTATCATTTCATTTCTTGTTTTTTGGATTCATTTTTATCATTCAAAACTTATAGAAATTTGTACCCTTTATATAGATTAGAAAGTATGAACACCATATAAAAATTAAAGAAGACACAATGTTCTAATTGTTGTATGTATAAAAATCAATAAGTATTTAAAAAATATAAAACATAATCGTTAAAAAATATATTCCTCACTACAAATAAGCGAATCTTTTTAAATACCCTTTTTTTAATATTATTTTTACAAGTTCCTCTCAATTTTCATATTAGAATTATAATTCTTTTCAGTGCAATCTGAAAGTTTTCCAACCAAATACTTGGCTAGATTTTATTTGCCTCACAAACAATTGCATAATTGCCCTGCATCTTTATATAACTCGAGAGTTTGTTGGCCAAGCATTTAGCCAAGCCTGAGGCTTTGGCTTCAACAGATTTGGCTCATGAATACAATGCTCACGAATGAAACTCAAGTGCAAATTCAATCTTTATAGGACACTTATCTCGTCGTCGCATCGATGGATACTCGATGGGTGACATAATGCCAGCCGATATGCCCGATAAGCACGTGCCATTAGCCCATCAGCCAATGAGTGCTGGATGAGTGAAAAGTAGTTTTAATTTGACGCACGACCAGAATTCTTGGCCAAAAAGTTTTCAGGGCGGTCACGTAGTCATAACGAGTTGGTAACTTCATTGTTGTTGCTGCAGGAAAATTGAAAACTTTGAGTGCCGCGAATAGTTCCCATCAAACTTGGCAGATTTTCTAGATGTTCTCTTGAGTTCGCTTCGAGCATGCAAATACCTTAAATTAAGGGAAGAGTTAGAAGCTTTTAAAGGTTTTAAATACCAAAATGAGTGAACTTAATTATGGGAATTTGGTAATTTTTTAATTGAAAAATAGTTATTTACTTATACTTCATTATTTTCTATGGTGCTTAAGTTTGGTATTTAATAATTCTGACATAATTTATGTATGAAATGTTATAGTTAAAGTCTTTAAGGTATCCTAGATTCCATTTATTGTAAAGGACGTACAGACAACATTTCCAACTGCCTCTAGAAATAATTAAAATGTGCAAAACCTCTGCCATTTCTCTATTTTTTTTTTGGCTCACTTTTTTGTTAGCCATGTTGCCTGGCTAACCCTTTGACCAGGCCAGGCTAAGCCCAAAAGGGTGAAGCCCTCCAAGTCATTCACTCTCATTATGTCCGTTCGCTTTATCATGTTCCTTGTTGACATTCGCGCGGACACAAATGAAGCAATTTTCCTGACATGCAAAACGTGCAACAGTTGCGACTGGCAAGAAATGGAAATGGAAATGGTTACTGCAACTGGAACTGGAGCAACTGTTGCTGTAGTTAATTTTCGTATATTTAATTCAACTTAAATTATTGCAGAGCTGGCCGCGCTTTGATGTGCTCCCATCACCCATCAGCCATTAGACATTAGCCAAAGGTAAAGTTGGTCCCAAGGAGCAGTCTATGGAGTTGAAGTCGAAACCCCAGTGCTCCATGATCCATGATATATATCCATGCCAGCCAACCAGCAAAGCCAGCCAGCGAGCCATTTGCAAGGCAAATCAAAGGCTTAATGAATTCATTTCAATTAAACAAACAAAAAAGCGAATCAAGCCACAACCGCATCAACGGCGATAGACAGTTTTGCATTAATAAATCGTTTAGCTGGGAGCTCCATGCCAATCCATTTGAACTTGGCATTTGTGGTCGGAGC